CAATCTATTTTCAACTGCTCAGCAAATATCACAGATGGATTTCCAAATGAAATATGTCTCTGTGCAACTTGAATTGCCGTCATCTGGACAATCTCTAAAGTTCCTGCATGTAACAAATACATGTAGAAACTCTTGTGACGATATGTATTACTCGGCACAAATCCGTGGGTTTGAATGAAATAGGTAACCACAGCTTGTGTTCAGTAAACCCTTTGATCATGTTTGCAATGTATAATTAATGCTGGTAAAACAACATTTAAAAATAGAGAAAGGTGTCGTGTTTTATCAATAAACCTTCATGGAGTTTTATTATTCTATGTAAGGTTTATCAGTTGAAATTGATTTGCTTGCTAAACCCCAGTGACAAAAAATAAACGATAGTGATGTGACAGTTGAATAAGATGTTACTGAGTTAACGCACTGCAAACAGAGGAGGCAACTGTGTCGATGTTGAAATAGAATACGTATATATATATATATATATATATATATATATATATATATATATATATATATATATATCCTCGGCGAAAAAACTTTGAGATAGTCTTTATATATAAACATTAACTTCGTTGATAATGACAGCATTGCCAATGACTAGTGAAATTTATGAACTGGACAGTTCCAATCTTCCATTCCTAACAACGTACATTAATGAAGAATATGCAGTACCTACCAATGGGACGGATGTTAATTGCAAGGACATTTTGTACGATCTTTCAAAGACAAATGCCCGTCTGGTGAAGCAACAGGAAATTGGTTGATTTGTCTTTCTTTTCGCTTACGTCTAATAGGCCGCCCAGTGGTGTACGTGTTGGGGTTACTAGCGAATACGTGTGCCATCTGCGTGCTCAACAGACCTTCCTTACGCAAAAACACTACATGTATATTTCTTATTGGAGTTGCAGTGGCAGACATGTTCGTATTGGTCATCGGATTTGTCTTCTGGGCTGAGTACGAACTACGCAATAGTAACGCCATGTCGGCTAATCCTTACGTGTGTAAATTAACTTTATTTACAGTTTATACTGCCCCCGAAATAAGTGCACTCTTACTGGTGATAATGAGTGCAGAGAGATTAATGAAAATCAGGTACCCGCTTCGTTGGTCACCATATTCCAATCCTCGTACTGCGAAGAAAGTCGTTCTACTTGTCAGTGGTGTGGCTATTGCGATTAACGGTCATATTTTCTTTGCCGATGTATACTTTTCTATATGCGGTTTTGACATTTGCTGGAATACCTATCACGACAGCGTGAATATACTTGTCAACCATACTGACGGCGTGACGTACTTCTTTGCATACGTCAACAGATGGATCTCACTTGCTTTGTACTGGATTGTGCCACTTCTTAGCCTTCCTGCTATTAACGGATATATTATATGGTCAGTACGGAAAAGAGAGAGAAAACTAAAACACATGTGCTACTATAGCAAAAAATCCGGTCATTCTCAAGGACAAATAACCAAAATGTTACTTCTTGTGACTTTTGCATTTTTGATCATGGTATCAGGTTTGAATTTTATTCAAAGCGGAATTATAAACATAAGTTATATTTATGATATTGATGCAAGTGCGACATTCACCGTTTTCTACTCTATCTTTATTTTATTATTCTACCTGAACCATGCCTCAAATTTCTTTCTGTATTGTCTTAGCGGACATCGCTTCCGCCAGGAGCTAAAAGATACAATAAGAATTGTTCTAGAACGATTTGGCTGTGAGCTAAAAACCACCATTCCGGCAAACACAGGGGATCATGGTCATTTGAATCACATGGCACAGGACCAATCTAGAATCAAATTGGCAACCAACATTTACAAACGTTTTGCTCCGGGGGTGTTTAGACCCAACATGTCTATTGCATTCGGAAGCACTAGCACTAAGGCGAGTGCTCTTCGTAATGCCAGCACACAGGACACTACGGGTGACGTACAAAGGTTAAGTGTTTCACAGGTTACCGCTAACTGTCCCACAGCTGATGATGCTGGTCTATCTGAAACCGTGTTTTCCACACACATGTAATATAACACGCTTTGTGCTACGGAACTGTAGCTTTACTCTTACACTGAGGATACTGTGCACAATATTCTTGTGTAATCAAATGTAAGCGTCACATCTTGTAAAATGTTAGAACAATCTGATTTCTGGAAATGACGTTGGTGTATTCCATCTTTTATTTATTTATTTATAGCGCAGTGGTCTGTTGATTTTGCTCACTTTGTGAAGAAGTAATAATAAGCAATTGTCACTAGCACAGTAAGAATAAATTAAATTGCAATGGTAATAATAAGAATATGTCTACTTTTGTAACTAAAAGTTGGTTTGTTCATTCACTAAAAGAGAGTGATAAAAGTAGCCCAAACAACTTTGGAAATTGGTCACTAAAACATAAATGAGTCATTCTTTACTCAAGATATTAAATCCATCAGCTTCTTGAAAGGCGTTCAAAGCAACTTATAATGTGTTCACTTATATTTGTACCTCCGCCTTTGCAGATCTATTTAGCATTTGTGAGTTTTCGAACATAAATTCTCGCCTGCTTTGTAAAGATAATGAAACTGCCGTTTGTAGGGTCTCTTGCAAGGCTTTTCCCAGACAGCCGTCCAGCCGTCATCTGAATGCCTATTGGCCTCAAAATACGGCCTATATTTTTGACGAAGCTGGCTAACACTGCACGCCCATTGTCTGTACCCTAAATTTTGTTAGGTGTAATAAAAATCATTCAGGGGCAAAAACTGTCTGAACGCATGCCAGACTTTACAGCGTCGTCCTTCCCTCCTAAAGTCTGAACAGAGAGTTAACCAACTTTTTCACTTCAAAAAAGGTGGTAGCATACGTTTTGCTATATCCTGCTACAAGTCAAGCGAAAATTGAACGTTTTTTTTTTTTTTTTTTTTTGTTTTGTTTTTTAAATTATATCCTTTGGATTTGCTTCTTTACAAAGAATGTTCGTCCTTAATATATCATTTCAGTTAGGGAAACGATGCTTTGAATAATAATAATAATTATAATTTTAATAATAATAATAACTAGAAAGCACTCAGAGATCAAATACCTCCACCTAGAAAGTATAAACAAATGTCTATACTTCGATCAAATCAGTAAATGAGAATGATTGCGCGTTAATAGCTTTAACTATTTCACACACTGAAAATTAAGATACAAGTATACAGTTTAAAACGATTATGGGACCCTGTATGCAAACTTTTTGGCACAAATAAACAAACATTTGCAAAGGAAGTGTTAAGGTCCGTGTTTCGTAAAGACCGAAGTTGAAGTATCTAAGACAAAATTATACAGGAGCTCGCACAAAAAGGGAGCTTGCGATCATCTTAAAAATTGTTAGATGATGTCGTCTATTCGACGGTTTTGGAAACGTTAGGAATGCGTGCTCACCCCCCTCCCCGAAGGCGCACATAAATGAAAAACTGTTGGAAAAACTTTGCTTTCCTATAATGTGTTTTCATTATGGATGCATCTCCCACACACTTTTTGCACAATTGACAGATTGCTGTGTGATCTCCCAGAGCCTGCCAAATTAAAAATTCACAAGCTCGCCGCCACCGTGGGGACGAACAATAAACTTCTAGTTTCTAGACTGTTCACATGGTTGCACACTCACTCAGTCGCATTTGCTATTCAAAGGAAACAAATGTTTAATGGAATAGGTTGTCGAATATTTCTTCACGCCTCCATGATTATCGGGTGACTGGAAAAATCGTTAGTAGTTATTAGTGGTATTTCTTCATTTCGGAGGAGATATACAATTTATAACACTAAATATGCTAGCAGAGCAAAAGATTTCCTCCTACACTGTGGGCGCTGCAAAGCTGACAGTCTGGACTATAATGAACGATAAAAGATGCAATAAACTGTGACACGTAAAAAATGCAATTTACTGTAACAAACATTTAGAAAATATAAAGACAAAGAATGGTAATTTCTAACTTATATAAACTCTGTTACATATTTCAAGGTTCAATAACTTCAAAAGTATACAAGCTTTAAAATTTAAATTTCGCACACAATTTTATTGCACTGTCGTGCGTCAACCCTGAAAATTTTTTTAAAAATTAACGTTTTTTAAAGTTTCATTAATTAAAATTATTAAAGTGAAGCATTTTTAATATTATTATCAAGTAAACAACATATTGACAGGTGCCGTTACTGCCAGACACTGGCACTTGTCAGAAGCTACATAAGCCGCCATGGCACTTTATGCTTCAGATTTCAATTTTTTCGGTGTGCCTAGCTAAACCAAGAGAGGAAGAGTCGTTAAATTTTCAGCAATTATTAAAAACGTCATCTTCCTCAAATGTCTCTAATTTCATCGCAATATTTTCAAAACTGTTTCTGGTTTTATTACTCTTTTCAGCCATCATTTTCTTTGTCGGCTGCAGGTGCTAATAGGGAGTATTAATTAGGACCACAAAGCTTTTTGTTGGGCAAAGCTACTCCACCGCCTCTATCCGTCACCCATACCTATGGATGGTTCTTGAGACAAGGAAGCGAAAAAAACTGTGTAAAAATGCTACAATGGTTGCTCCTATTAGTCTCAACTGTCGCATCAGGATCAACGACTTCACTGACTAAGGTCTTTTATTTGCAGCAAATTATATTATTGCCATTTCCAGATCGAGTAAAATTGAGGTAATTTTTTTTTGTTTGTATACTGTATGTTTTAAGGACAGTTTTTACGCTATCTGTCATTATTTTTTCTGTTGAACATGTGAAATTTGTTCTGGTTATAGAACTGAAGCTTTGATAAACTGAAAAGATACTTTCAAACAATGTGTTCCTGAATTCTATACATTATGTGTCGTCGACACTGAATGAATAATTTCATATGTATTTCATTACAACTGGTTAATACCACCATGATGGTTTCATTTATATGTTAAAGAGGGACCTTTATTCTTCCACGAGTTAACTTCATTGAAATCCTTATCTCTAATCCTCCATGATTCCCCGTGACTTGTAAAAAGTAGAACAAATAGATACGGAAGCAGGGCTGTATGTGTTGCTATGGTCCTCTCTACTAGACTCGACTGAGAAATATCGTCAATCCCATGCATAAATTCTTGCTGGACCTCGATGATTTGATACCAGATGGAATCAAATTATTTCTACCCCGGATAAATCCTTATGCCTTCACACATCTGGCAACTCCAAGTCTTTACTTCATACAGGTAGGTCTTCCGTCTCCACGCATTTCAGATGACATTGGCAAAAGCTTATTGCTCACTCGATCATGACTGCAAATGGAAAATCTTGTAGAAAAGGCGCGTTAGGCAGTGGTCATCTCACAAGCAGCCAGGACCTCTGCTTAGAGCGTCATTTCTACATATATATAAATTTCATCAAGTTTGCAATTAAGGTTTTTTCACATGAACACCTCGATAAAATTCGATTTTGAGATGAGTTTGACCACAATTAATTTGCATACTACAGTCTTATTGCTTGTGATGTTGGTAAAGCTCTTATTTCTGTTGCAGATTGAAGGTATTCATCAGATTCGCAGGGAAGGCTTTGTATATATGAATACCTCGCTCAAGTTTGATTTCCGAATGTTTCAGCTTCGACGAATTTGTTTACCGCGCTAAGATCCTTGATATGCACTTTGAGCACGCGACACATTTGCCTTGCAGAATTCTCTGTCAGCCCCCAAATCAGTAGTTCTTTAATTGGCTCATATCGTTTGGACGAGAAAGACATTAACACAGGATTTGCAAAATCAGTTAATCCCATTTGACTAATGCAATGCACAAAAGGGACGCCAACCCATTTTATTTCATTCTAACGCAATAGACAGATGAAAAGTGTGTAGACTTCTGGAATTAATAGAGTAGTACATGTATGTACGTATACGTATCATGGTTTTTTATACATTTTACCAGAAGGATCTGTTTGATGAAACTATTATGTTCCTGATAGATCAATAGGAGCCATCAACCCGATTATTTGTTGGATCTTCCATCGCTTCTTGAAAAAGGTAACCATAGCTTGTGCCAATGCAGTAACCCCTTTCATCATGTTTGCAATGTATAATTAATGCTGGTAAAACAACACTTAAAAAGAGAGAATGATGTCATGTTTTATTAATAAACCTTAATGGAGTTTTATTGTTCTATGTTAGGTTTATCAATTTGAACACCTTAGAATTAAATTGATTTGCTTGCTTATCCCCAATAAAAATAAACGATATTGTTACGACCATTGATCAAGACACTTCCTTTCTTCTGTCCTGTTTTCAGCATTGGCAGCCATTGAGTTTACGGACTGCAAACAGAGAGGGATATATATATATATATATATATATATATATATATATATATATATATATATATATATATATATATTCGGCAAAAATACTATGGTATAGTCTACCTATACTAGCATTAACAACGTAGTGTTTACACATCTTCCATTTCATTCAGGTCATTCAATAGGCAAGACAATCTATTTCGACGGCTTAGCAAATAGCACGGATGGATTTTCAAATAAAATACGTCTCTGCGCAACTTGGATTGCTGTCATCTGAACAATTTCTGCGTGTAACAGATACATATAGAAACTCTTGTGACGATATGTATTACTCGGCAAAAATATAACCATTGATAATGACAGCATTTCCAATGGCTAGTGAAATTTATGAACTTGACAATTCCTATTTTCCAGTCTTAACAACCTACACTAATGAAGAATATGCACTCCGTACCAACGGGACAGATCTTAATTGCACGGAAATCTTGTACGATATCTCAATGACAAATGCCCGTCTATGTGAGGCAACAGGAAATTGGTTGATTTGCTTTTCTTTTCGCTTACGTCTAATAGGCCGCCCAGTGGTGTTCGTGATGGGATTACTAGCGAATGCGTGTGCCATTTGCGTGCTCAACAGACCTTCCTTACGCAAGAACACTACATGTATATTCCTTATTGGAGTCGCAGTGGCAGACATGTTCATTTTGGTCAACGGATTCTTCCACTGGGCTGAGTATGAACTAAGCGATAGTCCCATTTTGTCGGCTAATCTTTACATTTGCAAATCATCTTTATTTATACTTTATACTGCCCCTGAAATAAGTGCACTCTTACTGGTGATTATGAGTGCAGAGAGACTAATGAAAATCAGATACCCGCATCGTTGGTCACCATATTCGAATCCTCGTACTGCGAAGAAAGTCGTTCTACTCGTTAGTGGTGTGACTATTGCGATTAACGGTCATATTTTCTTTGCCGATGTGTACTTTTCTATTTGTGGTTTTGACATTTGCTGGAATACCTATCACGACAGCGTGGATTTACTTGTCAACCATACTGACAACGTGACGTACTTCTTTGCATACGTCAACAGATGGATCTCACTTGCTTTATACTGGATTGTGCCTCTTCTTAGCCTTCCTGTTATTAACGGATTTATCATAAGGTCAATACGAAAAAGAGAGAAAAAACTAAAATACATTCGTCACTGCAATAATAAACCGAGCCATTCTCAAGGACAAATAACCAAAATGTTACTACTTGTGACTTTTGCATTTTTGATCATGGTATCAGGTTTGAATTTCATTCAAATAGGAATAGTAAACATAAGTGATATTGATAATATTGATGCACGTGCGACATACACCGTTGTCTATTCTATTTTTATTTTATTATTCTACCTGAACCATGCCTCAAATTTTTTTCTGTATTGTCTTAGCGGACATCGTTACCGCCAGGAACTAAAAGATATAATAAGAATTGTTCTAGGACGATTTGGCTGTCAACGCAAAACCGCCATTCCGGCAAACACAGGGGATAATGGTCATTTGAATCACATAGCACAGGAACAATCTAGCTCCAGATTCGAAGACAGCAATGACGAAAGTTTTGATCCAGGTGTTTTTGAACCCAGCAAGTTGGTCAGATACGGGAGCAGTCGGACTCAGACCAGTGCTCTTGATAACGAAAACACGAAGAATTGTACGGGTGTCATACAAAGTTTAAGTATGTCACAGGTTACCGCTGACTGCTCTCCAGCTGATGACGCTGAAACATTAGAAAACTTGTCATCCACACACATGTAATATAACGCTCATAATGCTACGGGCCTGATGCTTAACATGGATTTTTAACATGAGCATACTGTGCTCAATATTCTTGTGTAATCCCATTTTCAACATGACATTTTAGTTTGTTAAACTATGATGTGTCCTCACAAGGGCACAGTAGCAACCAGCTGTTTTAACAAAAAAGGATGACAACTGTTCGTATAAGGTCCATACTTCACAATACATACTCTGTAAGCAACTCATAGAAATATAATAAATTCCATTTAACACCAAATCAGCGGTCATCGCGTTTGTTCTGGAATCAGACCACGTGGATTTTCATAGATGGCTATACCTCCGTAAACATTTAAAAAACATGGACTAAGACTGGGTTCCCACACTTAGATCGATCCATCTAGATTTATCTAACTCCCTGGGGGTTCACGCTAAATTGCTATCAGCTCAAGAGGCTTAAATGTCTGTCACGCCTACCGAATCAGCTAGGGGTAAAGACAATTACCCCCTAACAGTTTTACTAGGCGTGGCAGACGTTTAAGCCGGTTCGTTTGATAGCAATTAAGTGAAACTCCCGAGGGAGATAGATCGATCCAAATATCTGTGGGAATGGTCCCTAACTTTGAATGCTGGTATGGATTCATTTACCATGAGTATGTATGTGGGAATTAAGCCATTTACCCCAGGAAAGCCCTTTTTTTTGCCAAGCGAACATTCAATTAAATGGCTTTATTAATCTGTAAATGTAACTTATACTAATTAATGTATTATAACTTAAAACAGAAAATAGAAATAGATGAAAAAAATGGCGGAATCACATACGCCACACACCTTTGAAGGCCATTAATATTAGCCAATCTTCATGGAATTAACGCCATTACAGATCAATTCAGCAGTTGTGAGTTTTTCCTAACATAAATTCTAAGGGCGTCTGAGGGTATAAAATATTCATTCCTTTTAGCAATAAGTGGTTTATTGTATGTACTTAAGTACACAAAAAATTTACGGCAAAGATCATCACGCCCGCTTTGTAAATTAACTGATATTGCCGTTTGGAGGCCCCGGTTAGGTATGTGATAAAGCAGTAGGTAAACTTATGTTAATCTGAGCATTGCTTTTTAGTTAACTGTTCCCAGGGAAGTTCTATCGCACCTGACCCTACTCTCTCGATTAAGTCACCCCTATATCGCCGTGCACACTGGTCGCATGGCGTAGTCTTACATGTATGTGAAGCTCTTAACTATGAACACAAACACTGAAGTAAGGCATAATTTGCCCTTAAAGCATCAGTCGCTCTTATCAATTGTCTCTCACGAAGCATAACTTTGCTATTAATTGCGATATTTCATCAACTGTTTTGACAAATATAGTTGACAAAATGTATGAACATAATATGTACCGTTATTGACGTTCTATCGAAAGTAGTTGTAGATAACTAATGCATTTTTAATGAAGTTGCCATGAAGTTGCGAGTTTCAATCTGTTATCAAAATGCTATGGAGTGATTTTCTGTGCTAAGGGAACGTTTAATACATGCCACTGTAGTGTCTCAAACATGTCGTCAAGAGAAAATTAAAAGCGATAAGGTGTGCAATATCGGATTAACATAACCTATATAGATAATGCTTAAGAAGGACAGCAACCAAATATCAAGAAAAGCTTAAAATTATCAAATCATTGTCTATAACAGAACCATTCACTCATCAGTTCATGGGCAATCATTGAAGCTGTTTCTTGGCAAACCGTTCAACAATTTGAAAAAGATACATATATCCATTTAAAGAAAACAGAAGAAATACAATAAAAAAAAGCGTTAAAATTTTCTTTTCTGAGAAAGGGAAGATGTGTAACAATTTCTATTACCTCATACTTGTGTTTTACAGGAAATAACAACAATGGAATAAAATCGGCAAATTCTTTTGATTTTCAGTCAGAGATTGATAGAAGGTGCCCATACAGATACCGAAGAATGTGTTAACAGTGTTGCGATAAAAGCATTCCTATTTCTGTTCACAACCGGGCCAAGATAAATTAAACACAATCAGATTGAAAATTGCCAGATTGCTAATTGAACATATGCTTTTAATTTTGCAGTACGCCACTGGGCGGGGGCTATGTGATCTGGTCGTCATATGGCGTCATTTAGACTTTTTACGGATTTGACTTAGTATAGTTATGAGCTGCCTGTTGACATTAAGTATGAATTGTGAGTGGGAAGATTTACACTTGAATGACGAGAATTCTATATATGAACTCAATATACCAGTACATCCTGTAAAGACCGTGTGAACACCCAAGCTGTTAACAACTAGCTGCCAGACCAACACCCACGCTTACGTCCGCCGCGGAGGAAAAATCTCGACACTTGGCGTAAAATAAGGGGGAGGGGGAGACATGGTTCAGAAATAATGGCAGACTAGCGATAACGTTTTTCAAGCTGACAGAATTTTTCCACGGATATTTTCTGACTGTTTTCTCCTGAGTTATGTGTACTGTAGAGCAGTAGAAATCCTTCTGTTTTGCATTATAATGCGTTAACTTTATATTACACAAAAATCCTAGCGCGTTTTATATGACGCGTTTCATATGACGTTACGCATTTCCAACAGTCTCGTTTTAGGCTATCTCGAATAATATCCCTTCCAAAATATGATTATCTGTCCCCATTACAATCTAAACCAAATAGGTACCGTATATTAACACGCCAGTTAACAAGATCCTTAATAGCATCTTCAGATTCAGTTAAAGTTCGAGGTACCCACATTCCCGTTGTTTAAACTTGGATGGATCTGGGATGTTTATGTTGAGGGGGTCATGAATCGGGACACGTATAAGACCCCATTTCCAGAGATTAGATCGATCTACTTTAGATCGACCTAACTCCCTGGGGGTTCACGCTAAATAGCTGTCAGCCGAGCGGACACGAAAGTAAATTACCCCCTTACAGCTTGTAGTAGGCGGGACGGACATTTAAGCCGGATTATCTGACAGTAATCTTGTGAGACTCCCCGCGGGGATAGATCGATCTAAAAGCTCTGGGAATACAGCCTAAGACAGCAGGTCCCTTGGATTGCATACAACTCTAAATACTGACAATCACTCAATATACGGGATGCAACATGGAATTTAGTCAGTAGTTATTTAATTGGCCGGTATGGTTTGCATGATAAGAACATTAACGCGAGATTGGCCAAATAAATCAATCTCATTTGACTGTGGCAATGCACAAATGGAAAGGACAATTTATTTACACACATCAGAGTATCAGTTGTAATTGTACATTTGACCAATGATAACCAGAAGCTAGCACTGCGGATACAAACATTTACCATACTTGCAGCTGGGAGTGCATAGGAGGTTACACAGGTGCAGATAAGTATAACACGTTTTGCATCGCTTTGCACCACTTGCCTGCTTGCATACGAACACACACACACAAAAAAAGGAAAACTGAAAGCACTTGGGGAACGGAATTCTCCACTAATCGGTCTCTAGATAATGATTTATTGCATTTACATTGGAAATGAAGACGGTTGCAGATGTAGTGTAACTACCGTTGCGGCGCGGGTTATTCTATTCCAACCATAAGCTAAGAGTGGTTCGATAATGTATAAATATTAGCGTTATAAAAGTAACATATAAAAACCCAATATTCCTGTTAAATACATTAAATGGGAGCCGTATATCTTCAGGTGCTTGTTTGGGTTTCTGCGGCATCCCGATAAATAGAAGGTTATCACAACTACTGCAGCAATAACGACTTTTAAAATCGTGGTCATAATTGATGCTGGCAAATCATCACTTCGAAAAAGAGAATAATGTTGTTTTCTCATAACAACTTAATGATGTTTTGTCATCCTCCTTTGGTTGATCAACTAACACAATGTTGCATGCATAAACATTTATTAGTATATTGTGCATGTTATTTTTACATATTGATACAGATTAGTAATAATTGATTGGCTTGCTTTCCCCTTTGACAAGGAATAAATTGTACAGTTCCACCCTCCCCAGTACTGCTGATATATACATGAAGAGATTTTATCAAAAAGTGTTACGAATGAAACGCTTAGTTTTCGTGTAAAAATTCATTACCTAAAGTGTCTATAATTTCCCTGAATAATTCATTTCACACGTGGTATTATAGGGTTTTTTAATGAGTTGGGAACATGTTCCAGTAGAAGGCACTACTGCATGTCTTGGCAATTTGTGAAGCATCATTACCATTAAGGTTTACCATATAGCAAATTCACCAAAAACAG